CAAGGCACATCTCAATGTGGTGGGGCTTAAGAGAGAAAATTAATTCTACCTCTTTCCGCTCTATGTTGTTAGCCAAGTGAGTACAAGATAAAAGAATCAGACTAATGAGGATCAAAATATCAGTACAGTTATCCCCTGAAATAAACTAGAGATTGGTTCCAGGATCCCTGCGTATACCAAAATCCATGCACACCCAAGCCCCTCAATTGGCCCCGTGGAATCTATGTATATGAAGAGTTTTATATTCTATTCGCATACGACTTTTTGTATATGTGTAGAGAACAGCACATGAGCGGGCTTCGCATCCCACAAATATCCTATTTTTGAACTGTTTGGTTGAAAAAAAATCTGCACATAAGTGGACTTGTGCAGTTCAAACTTGTGCTGCTCAAGGGTCAACTGTTACTTTGCTGATGAAGCTGTATCATGGTCAAAACCTGTCTTTCTAATACACTGACTCCGCCACCCCTCCTAATTCCTTGCCTTGGATCTGGACTACCCAAAGAAAAATACACGGTGGAAATACTTACCTGGACAGCAGCAACGGGCAGGACTGCTCCAAAAGTAGGAATAGAGAGACGTGCTCTTCAAACCTGCCTCTAGAAGGCATGTCTGGGGCTCGGCAGGTGTGCTTACCTTACCCTATGGAAGCAGGATCTCAGTGAAGTGCATGCACATTGCAGGCAGGGAGGTGCAAAAAAGAGAAGAGAACTTAAGAGTGTGTGTGTACAATGACAACCCCCCACCTCCCTATGTCTTCATCAGAGAATATATCATTTTTCCTTTGGGGAGAAGTGAGTAGAGGTGGAGATGGGGTCAAAAATGATTTTCCAGTATGATTCTCTGCTTGGATAAGAACAGGGAAATAGGGACAAATGACATATTTTTGCCTCCATGAGTGGGGGCAAAGCCTGTATTCTTCACATCCTCCCAGCAGAGGCAGGAGCTCCAACTCCCTCACACCCAAGGTCTGACCTAGAACTCATTCCCAGCCTTCAACCCATATTTCAGGAAGAGGTCTATGGATAGATTCTGTTACTAGATCATTCCTATATCAGAACTGGGAATAGCAGGGATGGGGCAAGGGCTCAGAGGTTCAGGCTGACCCCAACCAGCCCCCAGATGTACTCATTCATTGAGCTCCATCTGATTAACAAAAAGAAACCAAAGAAACACCAATAAAATGAGGAAGCCCTTCGCTAAGTACTCCTCGAGAACTCTGTGGTTGATGGAGTGAAAAAGGTAACAACAATATTCAGACTAAGAAAGATCCACCTAAAAACCTTGTATCTGGCTACTCCTGTGTCCTAAGTATCCCCCTCCCCACCACCTCAAGACCTGAGAGGAGTCAGTATTATCAATGAAAGACATGTCACATTGAGATTGTCAGAGGCCATCCCCAGGTAAAAGTCCCCAGTGTACAAGAACCCAAATAAGGACACTATTTGGGAGCTTAAGAATCAAAAGTTATTTATCGATGTGATTGGAAAAGCCAAGCTTTCTTGAAACCAATTTCAGAACGGTTAGTGGGAATTCCTGTTAGCTTCTTTGGTCCACTTACCCAAGGGCAGATCTTCTACTTTAAAGGACAAGGAGGAAACAGTAGTCTTCAGTGGGGCCCACAGTGCCCTAGCTATCCAGCCCCAGCTGAAGAAACAAACAGAGTAAAGAGAGGACTCCTTCCAATACCAAAACTCACTTTCATAATGGGGGCCTTCTCCTCGCACATGTAACTCAACAGCCTCACCTTCTCTGCTTAGCCTTCATTAGGAAATACTAAACTTCTTCAGGGTCACAGGCCATACTCTTTGGTTCCTTTCTAAGGACCCCTCCCTCACTTAGTGTAGGAGCACTTAGTAGAGTCCCAATGCCACGTTTGTATCATTTACTCTCTCGAGGATGCTGGAATGCCCCGGACCAGAAAAAGAAGGGAATTCACACTGAAAATTAACCTAGCAGTCCCAAAAAGAAAATCTCTCCTAGTATATCAAAAGTCATTCTCACTTTATGTCCACACGGTGTAAAGGGAGGGAATGTACTTAATCTCTTAAGAAAAGGGCTTTTGGGTCAAACACAATAGGCAAAGGGTTCAATCAACATGTAAAGATACACAAAAGCAATACAGACTAGGGAGGGAGGGACTAAGGTCCCAGAGAGGAGGAAGAGATGGGGTAACAAAGTGCAAGGGAAAGAGTCACTTAGCAGGCCAGACACCTAAGTTCTAGTCATGGCTCTCCCCTCCCAGCAACCCAGCATATGACTTTGAACTCATCTAGTCTTCAGTATCCTCATCTGCAAAATATGGGAAAGCGATTTGTTTAACCAAATGCCTATTAGAGTCCTATGAGATTATGGCATCTTCCCCAAGTGTCATTGATGGACTATTGCAAAATATTCAGGAAGGGGCCAAAGGGGATCTCCCAGGGCAGGGAACGCCTTTCAGCCTCATCTCTAAAGAAAGGGTCACATATACACACATTCATACATACACAAGCAGAGTGGTCAATGATTTCATCCACAGCAGCAGAGACACATATAGAAGAAACAAATACTGTTGATGTCTGATTCCTTCATAGTGGGAGAGGGCCCTGAGGATGTAACCTGGAGGGACTATAGCGTCAGAAGAGAAAGGTCCTCCTATTTGATAACAGCTATCACCTTGCTACTCCTTCCTCAAAACCAAGGGAGCCAGCTCCTTGGAAGAAACCAGTCTGTTACCTTTCCTCTCCCATCCACCAACTCACCTGTTTCAGAAACGAAAATCTGCAGACTCTGAGGGAAATAAACAGAATCTACCACTCCTGAGATTACATAAGGTGGGGCAATTGTGTCCACACGCCTCTATTTCCCTGAAAGTTATCCATGGTTACCAATGGTCTTGTTTTGGGTCCCGCCCAACCCTAAGGTCCCTTGAGTTTTCTCTGAGTGAAGCGGGGAACTAGGCTGGACCATCCTTTTCTTTCTGGTGCCTCTACGGTTGTTTTCAAATGTTTAACCAATCTCAGCATCCGAGTGAGCCAGGAAGTTACCATCCTCAAATAGGAAACCAAACGGAGAGAAGGGCTAAGACGCAAGCAAGCGCAGGGTTCCAAATCATGCAGTAAGACCTGCAAACAGACTCACACCCCAGACATCAAGAACCATCTCCCATCCATACATCTACATGGAGCTTACGTGGCCTCTCCTAGCAGAGGTAGCTGGGGCAATTGGGGGAAGTGGAGGGCATTAGCCTCCCATCAACCTGGGATCCCTATTTAAAAGATGCTAAAAATAAATTAGTAAACATTGCTGTTTACAGAAATAGAAATCATTTCTGTTTCAAAGGCCTCTCACCATCCCAGTCCTGGACATTTCCAAGACTGCCACCCCTGACACCCTCTCCAAGGTCCGCCCTGGTGGGTGGGTGAGACACCAGAGTCCTTTGAGACTGGGAGCTCCTCAGGCATCTGAGAATTCCAGTTTCACATCCCTGGTTCCAGGGAGGGGAGAATCTTCAGTACTCTGGAGAGTACCAGAGTTCAACCCTTCTTATCAGTTCCTGGGGGCTGTCTTGAGGAGGCAATCCCCACTTTTAGGATGATATAAGCGTTGCAAGAATTCCCGCTATTTTCCAGCCCCCAGTACCTCCCCAGAGTCCACACGTCTGCCTGGACCCACCCTCAGAGCAGAGGAACCAGTTCTGTGCCTTGGTGTAATGACTCTGGGAAAGAGGGATGGGCAGAGAGAAGGCAGGGACAACAGCTGGGGGATCATCCTTGAGGGTACGACTGACAGCAACAACTGTCCTACAGGCAGGTGGTGAAGCTGGGCGCCTGGCCGGGGCCGGAGCTGGAGGCGGGGCTTTCCACCTCGCTGGTGAGTGGCGGGTCGACTCGGGGAGTGCGACGACGCCCCCGGTACTCGATCATGTCAGGATGATAGGTTGGGTGGCGGCGAGCGTGCTTGGTCAGGTGGTCGCTCCGGGAGAACTGCTTGGGGCAGAGGGGGCAGGAGAAGCGTTTCTCGCCCGTGTGCGTCCTGTAGTGGCGGGCCAGCTCGTCGGAACGCGTAAACTTCTTGTCGCAGTCGAGCCAGTCGCAGGAGAAAGGGCGCTCACCCGTGTGGGTACGCTGGTGGGACTTGAGGTGCGATGACTTGTAATAGGCTTTGTTGCAGCCCGGGAAGGGGCACTGGTGGCGCTTGGCAGCAGGTGTGACAGGCCTCCTCCGGGGCACCTGATTCGTGGCGGGGACGGGGCCGGCCCCTAGGGCCCCGTGAGAGACCCCGCCAGAGGCTGCAGGCGCGCTTGCGGTGGCACGCGCGCTCCGGACGGCGGGTGCACCGGAGGAACTCTCGGGAGCGCAGACCGCTGCAGCGCAGGAGGCGGGAGCCGGCTCGGAGCACTGGGTCTGGACGGAGCACGGGGTCGGGTCGGAGACGCCGGACGAGGCGCGTAGAGTTTCCCCCGAGTTCTCCCGGGAGTCCTCTCCAGAGCTGCCGCGCGAGTCTGCCCACACGCCTGCAGCCAGCAGGTGGGGCGCGGCACCGCCCGCGCCGGGGCTGGGGGCGGGGACCTGGGGGAACGGGGGGACCGACGCGGGCCCCGGTGGCCCCGGACCCGGCAGAGCGGACTCCGGCGGCGCCGCACCCACCTCCGAGCCTGCGGCTCCGCCCGCGCCCTCGGGGTCCGGCGGGCGGCGGTGAACCACGGCGCCCGCGGACATGGACACCAGGCACTCGGCGGCGAAGTAGTCCAGGCACGCCACGGCCGCCGACATGCTGGGACCGCCCGGCCGCCGGCGAGCGCGGTCCGAACGCGGCCGGCCGCGGGCCAGGGAGTTCCCGGGAGCGTCCGTCCCGCAGCCTCGGAGCGAGAAGCAGGAGGCCGGGTGCGCGCCGCCCGCCGCCCGCTGCCGCCGCGCTGCTGCCGCCGCTGCCGCAGCAGCAGCAGCCGCCGCCGCCGCCGCCGCTCGCGCGGAGCCCGCCCCGCCTGACGCGCCCCTGACGCACCGGAGCCCGTGGGGGCGGCGGAGACCCGCCCCGGCCCACAGGACACCCCCTCGGAACGCGCGGCCCCCCAGCTAAGTCGGGTTTAACAGCCGCAGAAATTATCTTGTCTCCGCGTTCTTTCTTCTGCCGGCGAGCCAGGTAATGGTAACCGAGCGAAACTCCCCGGTCGGAACTTCTGGGCGGCCGCGGCCTCGCCCCCCCGCCCGCTGGTCCGTCGCCAGCTGGGTGTCCCGTGGAGTCCCAGAAAGTTTTTTTTTTTAAGGAAAAAAATGGCTAATACCTGACATGTCTTTCGGTTCATAATTGCGATTGTTCGCGAAGTGGTCGGGAATTCCATTTCACTCCCCGTTCGCCGCTCTCAGACTAAATTGCAAATATCCCCAAGTCTGCAGCAAAAAAAGTTTTCTCATTGAGCAGCTCAGCTGTGAACCCCGGCCCGGGAGCAGTTCCCTAAATAGATCCGCTACGTAGCCATTAATTAATAGCATCTCGAAACAGAAACAGTTTTAACCTTGGAAAAGCTGAGAATCCTCTCCCCGTTGAAATTGAAACTTAAAATCTTTTGGGTAACGATTTAACTATTTAGCCAACGAAAGAAAAATCCGTTTAAACTGCATTAACCTGTCACTGGCATCCAAACAGGTTTTCACGATGAAATATAAATTATAGTCTGGCGGCGAGATAAACACATTAAAATGGACTCCCACAATTTTAATAATAGAAAGTCACGTTTCCAATTAGGCAATATCTTCTAATTTGCTTTTGACCAAGTTAAAAGGAAGCAAATGCAGCACATGATATAGAATGCTCATATGGTATTTAGTGATTGTGGAGGTTTGCCTTTTTTTTTTTTTTTTTAAATGAAATATATGTACGGTTTCTTTTACGTGTCTTCATTGCTTTCATTTTCCCCTCGTTTTTATTTTTAAAAATATAAAACCACATAGAAAAACAAACAGGATAATTTTTGAAAATAGTCATATCTTGGTTTTTGATGTATGCAAGCTTTTGTATGAGTGAATTATGTGCATTTTATCTGTAGTTCTTCAGTACTTTTTCTTTTGAAAATTAACAGCACCTATGCATTCAGAATAACATACGTTCGTGTATTTACTGCCTAAGATAACCAAATGTGAAATTTTGTTACAGTTGTTTCATGTTTTTATTTATATTAAACATTACAGATAGAGCTGAATGTCACTTCATTTCCCTCCCATGTCTCATTTATCTTTCTCCCTCTTCACTTCCCTAGGTAATTAGTATTTTAAAGTGGCTATTTAACCCACATTTGTCTTGATACCCTTATTACCTAATTATATATGTAAATATATGTATATATCCACGTTTATTAAAAGTTCTAAGTAAATGGTACAGTAGTATACATAACATTTTGCAACTTTTCTCCCTCAATATGATTTTGACAACTATCCAGGTTGACACCTATGGAATCTATTCATTTCAGCAGTTTTTAAATAATATTGTCAATGTTATTTTTAAGGTGATTCCATTGCAAAAGAGTTATTTTTTTCTGAAGTTCCTTTAGACGATTAACTCTTCATTAATCTACACATTAAACTTCTATCAGAGATAGAATGATTTACTAGTTGTTTTAATTTTATTATTTAGAAAAAATGTGAAGATATTTAAAATGCAGAGAGAACAGTACAAGCACCCATATACCTGTCTCATATAATTAATATTAACATTTTGTCTTATCTCCCTCAGGTCTATTTTTAAAATTGAAGTATTCAACATTTCTGATAAAATTGAAGTTCCCCTTGTACTGCTCGCAATACCATTCTCCTCCCTTTTCCCCAAAGGCAAACACTAACATAAATTTGGTATGTAACTTTCCAGTCTGGGTTTTACACTTTTACCGGATGTGAACACATAAAATACAGAATATTGGTTTATATAATTTTTAAATGTACAAACATGGTATTAGACTGTACATATTATTCTTGGACTGGTTTTTTTTTTCCTTCGTGGTATGTTTTCAGTTTTTCTCTTCGTGTTGATAAATATAGATCCCGCTCATTCATTTTAATTGCTGTAGTGTAGATTCATGCATGCATACGAATGTGTTCTGTTTATTTATTCCCTTATTGATGAATATTAAACTGCTGCCAATATTTTGGTACTACTTGTACATGTTTCCTTTGCACATATGTGAGATTTTATCTGTGTATCTACCTAAATGGGGAATTACCGGGCTCCACACACATTTTCCGTTTTGCTAGAGGCTGCCAAATGATTCAATTTGCACACCTATCAGCAGTGTATGACAGTTCATGTTTCCCTCACATGATCTTCAACACTTTCTAGATTCAGACTTTTATTATTCCTGCCAATTTGATTGTTTTTAAAAAAACAGTATCTTGTTGTTTTATTTGAATTTCTCTCACTGCTAGTGAAGTTAAGCATTTTTTTCCCACATGTTTATTGGTTATTGTGGTTTCCAAGTCTGTGATTTGTTTTTTCACAATCCTCGTTCATTTTTTTCAATGGACCGTGTATGTTTTATCTTTTTTTCCTCCTGATTTGTAGGAATTCATGCGTATAAACATTGAATATATTGTGTCAGTCTGTGGCTTGTCTTTTAGCTGCTTTTGATGTCTTTTGCACTATAGAAAACTTAAAATGTACTCATTCATTGATCTCTTTCTTTATAGTGTCATTTGTGGATTATTAAAGAAACCTCTCCATGCCCGATACGTTAAGGTAGCCTCTTATGTCTTTTTCTTTAATGTTTTAAAGTTTTGCTTTCCATACATGAGATTGATCTATCTTGGACTTTTTTTTTTTTTTTTTAATAGTGTAAAGTAGGAATTTAATAATTTTACTTCTCCCTTTTCCCCCAACCCCCATTTGGAAAGCCTGTCTTAACCTGACTACAGAACAGTCTTTCGTGTCCCTATTAATGTGTAATACCACCAATGACTGTAAATTAAATTTCCATGTATTCATGGATATGTTTCTAGTTTGTCCTTTTCCACTGATCAAACCAAATTTGAGCCAATATCGCAGTCTTAATTAATATGGCTTTATAAATCTTGATGTATAGAAGGGCATGTTCCCTCTTTATTCATTTAAAAAATTGTGTTAGGTAGTGTACATATCGTTTTGCAACTTGCTTTCCTCCCTCAGTGTGATTTTGAGAGCTACCCGTGTTGATACCTGTAGAATCTGCTTTATTAATTTCATGAATGTATGGACTATTTTTGGACTTCTATTCTTCTGTACTAACTTTAGCATTAGTTTGTCAAGTTGCATGGAAAAACTCTGTTGGTCTTTTGCTTAGTAAAATTTATAGGTTAAAATTGGGGAGCTGTGACAACTTTATAAAATTGAGCCACCTAGTACATTAATATTATTCTGATTTTTAAATGTCTTTCAATAACATTGAGCCACCTAGTACATTAATATTATTCTGATTTTTAAATGTCTTTCAATAACATTTTATAATTTGTTTATAAAACTCTTGTACCTCTGTGTTAGACTTATTCCTATTGTACCTTATAGCTTTTGCTGCTACTGAAGTGAGATGTCTTTTCTATTAAATGTTTAAATTGGTCATTGCTGCTGCTGTCATTGTTAGAGATGCTGTAGATTGTGGAATAATCTTAAAATTTTGTTAGATAATGTTGGCAAACATGCTGAACTTATTAGTTAAATAGTTTATTTGTAGATTCATTTGTGTTTTCATGTAGATGATAATATTATCTATAAGTAATACTCCTAATACATTTTCTCCTTTCTTATCTCCTTGGGTGGGCTAGGACCTTCAATATAACATCAAATAGAAAGGGTGAGTACAAGCATTGTTTTCCTATTTTTATCTCATTGAGAATGTTTCTCATGTGTCAAAATTATGATATTTGTTTTTAAGTCTTTGGTAGGAACTCTTTATTAGTTTCCTTCTATTCCATTTATGCTTAAAGTAGGAATATTGTTAAGCCATGAAATGAATATTGAAATATTAATAAATGCTTTTTCTAAAAATATTGAGATGATTACAGGTTTTATCTTTGCTATGTTAATGTGACAGGTCACATTGTTAGATGTTTCTGATGTGAACCTACACTTGCATTCCTGAGTTAAACCCTGCTTTGCCTTAATGTACTGTTATTTATTAATACAGCGCTTCATGTATTTTATTTTAGCATCTATGTTTATAAGTGACATTGGTTTAGAAGGTTCCAATTGCATTTGGAAATTTCCTCTTTCTATATTCTATGACAGTTTGGATGAGATAGGTATGATATGTTCCTTGACTATTTGGTAAATCTCATCTGTGAAACGATCATATTTTGAAAATTCAATTTAATTTCTCTAATGAAAATTGTTGGTTTCTTTGGGTTTTCTATTTCATTAGTCAATTTTGATGATTCACATTTTTTCCTAAAATTAATATTTTACTACATTTAAACCTTTAAAATGTTGGTACGTGGTTCATAGTATTCTCTTTAAAAATTCTTTATGGTGTCTGTAGTTATACCTTATTTTTCATTCTTGATTATTATATATTTATAAATTCTCTATTTTTTTATCTTAACAAAGATTTGTCTGTATATTTAGACAAACCTATAGAGGTTTGTCTGTAGTCTTTACAAATAGGCAGCTTTTGTTGAACATATATCTGTTTCTTTCTAAATGTGTATATGTTTGTTTAATTTCTATATTTATTTTTATTAATCCCTCACATTTTCATTGAGTTTAATGTGTTATTCCTTAGCACCTTAAGTGCTTTTCAAGTTAAATACCTATCAATTTAATTTCCAGTATTTCTTATTTTCTAATATATAATTTAGGGCTATAAATTTCTCTTAAAGAGAAATTTCCCTTGCTTCATCTGTATCCTGCAAGTTTTTAAAATAGTGCTTTCATAGCCATTCAGTACTAAATACTTTATAATTCCACTGTGATTTCTTAAATATGAAATTTTCAGTAGGGTGCTATCCCCGGATTTCCCTGGCATTGTATCACTTGAGCTATTCTGTAACCAGTGCTCATTGTGTAACCGCTCAGGAATTGGCTCTGGAAGTATAATTGTGGATTATTTGAAAAGGAAAGTGGAATAAGGGTAATTTTCTAATGCGGCATATACTGTGGCCTTGAAGTAAATGTTACCAAAATAATATCTCTCCCAAGCCCATTCAGAAGCTTCCAGGAACAACATGAAAGACATGTTCCTGAAGGCCTTGAGCAACTGACTGGTCCATTCCTTTGGTCACAAGTTCAGGGCATGTACATAGTAGGTTTTATATAAATAGAATAAATGAATAGGAATATACAAGCTGACACATTAGTATTACTATTCATTTATGGTTATTAATCCCAAACAGACATTCAACATTCCTAGAAATATTGCACACCTGTTTGCATCTGCTGCCAGTCTCCTTCCTGCCTTTTGGCAAAAGCTAGTCTGTTCTTGTTCTAGCTCTGTTTCTCTTGCTTTCTTAAGGTTCACAATCCGTAACATGCCTTCTCTCTCTCCAACATCTTCTGTTTTTTAATTCTGTACAGAATAATTAGAATCAATATTCAATAATGGATTAATATATTCAGTTAAAAACAATCCTCCTATCTCGCTCTCGACTCTCTCTTCTAGCTACTGCCATATGGCTAGGTTGCCGATGAAAGCCATATTTCTCCAGTGCCAAGTATATTCTCTGTCACCACTTCCTTACTTCCATGTATTATTAAATTTACTTCAATATCTAGCCCTCACTTTGCTACAGAAATTCTTGTCAAGATTAACATTGATGCATGACAATGTAAATGTACTTAACACCACTGAACTGTACATTTAAAAATGGTTAAAGTGATAAATTTTATATTATACATATTTCACTACAATTTTTAAAGCTTTCTTTTCTCAAAAGGAGAAAAAAATTAATATTCATCCCCTTGTTGCTAAATTCAATCCTCAAATAACTAGAACTCTCAGAGCGGTTGAGCAATTCTTGAAACACTTTCTTCTTTTGGCTTCTGTGATACTACATTCTTTTGGGCTTTCTTCATTTTTCTAACTGTTCCTTAACAGTTTAAGTCTTAATTACTCATTCCACCTCTTTAACATCTACAATTTAAAATTCTGCAGAACTCTATCCGAGGTCGTCTTCTCTCAATTCTACCCACTTTCTCTAGGTAATTTTAAACATTATTCTGTGATTTAAGTACACCTGTATCCCAACAATTTATAAATGTTGTAATCTTTAGCCCAGATCTCTTTTCCAGAGATGTCAGGCAGTCTTGACTACTTGACAGGTCCCTAGCCTTCCTGGGATGTCTCATTGATATTTCAAACAATAGATTCAAAAGTCAAATTTACCCCAAATCTACTCTTACTGTTTTCTTCCCTGTTTCAGTACACAGCACTGTCATCCACTCCTGCTCCTTAGACCAGGAAACTGGGGTCATTCTTGACACTTCCCTCTCCATCAGCCCCCATATTTAATTAACCTTCAAGTTTGGTTATTCTGCTTTCAAAATGCATCTTGACCATCTCTTTTCTCATTTTTTCCTGCCGGTACCCTAATCCACATCAACATCAGCTTTTGGTCAGACCACTGTAATACTGGGTTGCTTAACTAGTTCCGCTGCTTCACTCTTGCTCCATTCCATTGTCTTCCCCATATAATTGCTACATGGTGAAGTCATCAAAACCTTCCTATAGTGCTTAAGACAAATTCAAAATGGCGGTCGATTATCTGGCTCCTATTTACCTTTCTACTTGACCTCCTGCTTACTCACTGTATTCCAGCTTACATTGGCCTTTGAAAACACTAGTTCCTCGAATGGTCAAACTAAAATCTTTGCATATGCTGCTGCTTAAACCTAAACTGGTCTGGTCTTCACTTTTTGCTGAATAATTCCTATGTGTCATTCATCCATTTTCACTTCCTCTGAGAATCCTGACATCCCCAATCTAAACTGTATCCCTTCTTTTACATGGTCATTCATTGATTTAACAGATACTAGGTACCTGTTCTTCAGGTAGCATAGTCTTAGGACTGGCAGTAGAGCAGTGAACAAAGCAGTTTCTGCTCTCATGGAGCTTACATCCCAATGGAAGAGCCTGATAACAAGCAAATGAGTAAATAGATATTATTTCAGATATTCAGTGACAGATGCTGTGGAGAACAATGAAACAGGGGCAGTGAGATGGCAAGTTCTGAAAGGGGGTATTTTGTGTACGGGGGTTAGGCAAGACTATTCTGATGTGCTGAACTGGAGGGAGTCGTCTTGGAGAAATCTAGGAGAAAAATAGGAAGTGTGAAAGTTTTGAAGCAGAGGCATGTTGCGGTGCTGGGCAGCTTGAGGGCTCACACTGGTTTTCTACAGCTGCTGTAACAAGTTACCATAAACTTAGTGGCCTAAAAGACAAAAATTCCATTTATCTCAGTTCTTTAGTTTAGAAGTCCAAAATTGGTCTCACTGGGTAAAATCAAGAGGTCAACAGGGCTGCATTCTTTGCAGATCCTGGGTGAGAATTCATTTTCTTGCCCTTTTCTAGCTTCTAAAAGCAGCTGTCTCTTGGACCCCTTCCTCCCTCTATAGCCAGCAATGATGGGTGGAGATTTTTCTGATTTTCTTAAACCTGATCTACTCTTCTCCCTCTTATTTCTGCTTATAAGAACCCTTCTGATTGTATTGGTCCCAACTGAATAATCCAGTATAATTGCCCCATCTGAAGATCAGCTAATTAGTGACTTTTATTCCATCTGAGTTCTGGGTATTAGGATCTGGACATCTGTGGGGAACCATTATTCTGCATAGCACAAGGTTGAAGTGGACTAAGGGAAGGAAAGAATGAGTTCAGGCACCGGACTGAGTGGGAGGCAGGTCATGTAGGGCCTTGTAAACAATGTAGAGAGGGAGATGGGAAGTCTTAAGGAGGAGGATTGATTCACTTTGATTGCTGTGTGGCTGGTAGACTCAATGGCAAACAAGAGTGGAATCAGGAGACCAGTTAATACCCTATTGCAGAAATCTGAGACAAAGATGATGGTAGTTTAGATCAGAGTGGCAGCAGTGAAGGTAGTGAGATGTGGTCAGATCTGGGTTGTCGTTTGCAGCTAGAGTGAGGAATATATCTGCTAAGGTGTTGCATATAGGGTATAAGAGAACGTGAGGTTTCATAAATAACTGCAAGGATTTCAGTCCAGCAACTGGAAGAATATACTTTCTATTTTGAGATGGGGGTGGCTTTAGAAGAAGCAGGGTGCAGGATGTAGAAATTGGGAGTTTGGTTTTGGAGACTTGGAGATGTATTTTAGACATCTAAGTAGGGATGCTGAGTTGGCTCTTGGATCTGAGTCAGATGCTGCTTTTTTTTGTTTTTGGAGACAGAGTCTCACCATGTTGCCCAGGCTGGCCTTCAATTCCTGGGCTCAAGTGATCCTCCTGCCTCAGCCTCCTGAGTAGCCAGGATAGTGTGATGCTTTTGTAATTCAATGAAGTCCGGCTACATCCCTGACTGGGCAACAGGTTAAAATGGATTTTTTAAAGCTATATAGTTTTATATGTATGTTTCTGGAGAACAGGAATTCTAACTCTTAGTAGAATTTTTCAAAATGTCATGTATCATTATTTGATAGTTTTTTAATATTATGATCGTAAGATATTATCTAAATATAATTAAAACTGATAGTTTTGTGTCAAACTATAAAAACAAAGATTGTATTTTAGGAAATCTAATCATTTAATATCTATTGGTTTTTTAAGTTCAATTTCCATTCTTGATAAAACCTCTGTGTTCTTAGCTGTCAGGTTTCTTTTAGATCCAGCTGAACTTCTTTCCTGTGACATTCACACTCATGTTAATTTACAAGTCTAGATGAACTATATGTGACCTTATGAAAAACAGATGAGCTTTTCTTTGGTGAATTTCAAACACTTTTCAGTGCTTCTAGTGTTGTGGGCACATAGCAAATAATCAGAAAATATTTTTATATAATGAGACTGAGAGCAAAGGTCAAACTGAGATGTTTATATGAGACAGAAAAAAAGTGGGTGATGTTAAGATTCTGTGGTAGAATAGCTCAATAGTTCAGCAGTATGTGTGGTGATTTTGCAGTCTGACAAGCCAGATTCAAATCTCAGCACAAGACATAAGACCCTCTTCTTTCCCATGAAGGTAATATAAATTGGTGCAACAGTTTGGTAAGAACCTGTCAAGGTGATGATGTTCATACATACGTTATGACTTAGAAATTTTATACCCTAGTTATGTGCCATAGAGAAATTCTTGTACTTGGC